GATTGCGCAATAACGTCGGCCCAGAATTCTGCACACGGTAGAAACAGTGTCCAGAATAAATGTATTGTTATTCAAGTGTTGGTTTGTAGGGATTTGATTGGTTACAAGATTTTCATCATGATCTACCATAAGTTAGAGAACCATTGAAAACCTGAGAGCGCTCGACAGCTGCTTCATCCTAGTTTGTGACTCTTCAGCAGTACGCACCCACGACATTGGCTAGGGTCGCGCTATGTCGTGAATTGCCAGAAACTAGAATTCGTGGGCCATTGGATCGGTCCCAGTGGCCCAATGGTATATGGGTTCGCTGGCCATGTAAACAGAAGTTCCACGGTTCGAATCCCGATGGGTGCGTACCGCTGAAGAGTCCCAAGCTAAGACGAAACAGCTGTCTAGTACTCCCAGGTTTTCTAATGGTTCTGTAACTAATGTCAGATCATAATGAAAATCCTGAAACGTATTGTTATTCGCATCAGTGATACAGCTGAAGAATGCTCTCCGACCACGCATATAGTTCAGGGTTTGATCCTCGGCCGATGCAATCCTTCAACTCACCAAGTCGATATTAAGGCTGGCAAAGAGGGAAAGCTGGGTTTGAGGCTATCAACCTCATCCTGTATGAGTAAATACCACCGCTATCGAAGGAATCAGATTGCAACTTGAAGCTTGTGTTCCACTGGGAACGTATAGAATTAAAATAAAAATATATGAAATATTGATAAAATAAAAATGACTCATATGATGTTGAAGATAGAAGAAAGCAAAACAAAAAATCACCCTATTAAGAATCAATAGGATTCCACCTGGAAAAGCAAAACCTGTGTATTCAGAAGAAATCTGCACAGCCACTTTCCTTACCTTGACCATCGTTACATGATTGTATAAAACGGACTACTTCCACCCCACTCCCCCTAAACCTTTAAAAATTGTAATTGTCCAAATTATTTCATTGTTTCTCTGACTATTTCATCTTTAATTACGCGGTATCTTTGTACAATTATTTTATTCTAATGACCACTTCAGCCTTAGTTACTAGTTATCATTGTCCAAATCGTTTTATTTTCTTTAAAACAACTAGTTCATTTGATAAATTTGAATAAGCATTAAGAAGACGAATTTCGCTAGATGATATCATTCCGTAGATTCTTTACAACCTCTTTACAACTAACATGGTTAACAATAATAAAATAAAGATAATGACAATTACTCAGTTAAATAAAAAAGTACATACAAATTATTATTATTTATATTATTATATTCATTAATTCCTAGAGGAACGTGCGGCTACAGCCGCGCGTCACCATTGCCTTCGGTTTTCTGCCAACTTTTTCACTCCGCTCCAAGTCTGCCCACATGCTCTCATCTCCTCTTCATATGACCTCTGCCAAGTCACCCCACCGTGGGACGACCAACTCGCCGCTTCCCTTTCAGGTTCCACTCGAGCGATGGCTTGTCTAGTGATGTCACTTGATGGTTTGTTTACTTGGAGTATGGTCAATCCACCAACTTCATTTCTTCCTACCTATTTGTTTCACAATCGATTCCTGGTTGGTTCGCTCATTGCCAGAGATCCCTGTTGCTAGTCTTTTCTGGCCGGCCATCTGATCTTGAGTATTGAGCGAAGACAACTGTTAATGAAGACCTGTAGTTTGTTTGAGATGCTCTTTGTGACATGGCGCCAAGTATTTGCTACGTATAGTAGCACTGACAAACTTCACATTGGAGTTGAAAATCCTGACCTTATTTTTGAATTTGAGTGCTGTTGACCTTCACACAGACTTATGAGTAATGAAAGCTTGTTTTGCTTTTCCGATTCTGGCTTTGATATCCCCGTCAGTTCTGCCTGTAGTTGAAACGATGCTTCCAAGGTAGGTAAAGCAGGTTGTTTCTTTCAGGTAATTAAGTAGATAAGTACTAATCACCAATCATATTTAGATAGTTCAGGTAGTCCAGGGTAGGTGAAGCTTGAAGTTGATTGATTTTGTACACACATTTTAGGCTGGTTGCCATTTATTCAAAGTGCTTCCATCACCTTAAATTAGAGTTATGTGAGATAATTGTGAAACAGTCATTAATACTTATTTTGTGACCAGACGATAATAAGTGTTTTGCAATGGATGATGTTGGATTTCTATTAAGATTTCTTTCTTAAACAATCTGTTATGTAATCGACCTGTGCACACGTTCATTCCTTAATTGCTCTTCATTTATACAAAATTATGCATTATGCAATCCACTTGTTGTAACCATTTCTACCTTTTAATTATGTATACTAATTTTCTTCATTAACTATCAACCCGTTGACATTTTGACACTGACTAATTATTCTTAACAATCATATCAGTGCCACTTGACTGGTAAATTGTTGTGTATTGTAATAAAAATGTTATATGCGTATATTAGAGTAGAGTCAAAGATGCGGAGGTAATTGAAAAGCAAATATTTCTTCGCTCAATCTTTCTGTTTATTATCGATTTAACATAATTCGCCATACTAAGTCATTCAGACACGAAGTTTATTCACATCAACTATCATCCTTTATTTGGCTACGAGGAATTTCTAAATTTTTACATTTTTCCATAGCGTTACTATATCAGACACATCTGTTGAAGTGATCGGTATCCTTTTATTAAAACAATTAGTCCTTTTTATAAATTTCGATAGCGTTATTAGAAGACGAAGATTATCTGAAAAACAATGTGATGTATTTGCGCTATACAATTCGAACAATCTGATCCCTCACACATTTACCTGTCAATTCGATATACACATGAAAAAGTTAAATTAAACAAAGCGACAAAAAAAAGAATTAAGAATAATTAACACAACGTTTGATAATCCAATCAAATAAGGATTACCAAGGTAGGTAGGTTAAGAGTAATAACAAACTGTTTTTGAATACCTAATGCAGTCAGCTTGCATTTTTAGACATACTTCTCAGTCGATGAGATGATGGCTCAATAAGATGATCTATCTACAGAAAGCCCACTTGGACAGGGCAATACCTTAATTTTCACAGCTTCTGTCCATATCAATATTAGAGAGGCTTGGTGAAGTGTCTATTTAAGAGGATTCAACCTATTTGCACGGCTGATGTTATAGACAAAGGAAACGAAACATTGATGGATACTGTTGTTGAAAATGGATATCCTTTAAAATTTTTAAACAGGTGTATAAGTCAATTAGTCTCTTAACCTACATTCCATACTGCCCGTAAGCGAAATGTTTTCATCAAATTACCATATAACGGGGAAATAAACAGTAGGATTTTGAGACAAAGGTTGAATTCGATCATTCGTAGAAATTGTCGAAAAAGCTAAAAAATATGTTTCACTGCAAACCTCAAAAGTGCGCAAGTGATTATGTCATATCCTACACAATTTCCCACTTTTCGTGTGTGTGTGTTTACACATACATAGGGAGAAGTAATCGCGTTTTGCATGTGAGGGTAGGAGAGCATATCCAAAATGGTTAGAAAAACAAATGAATTGTGGAAATTTAAACAATTAGTCACTTTGATAAATTTTGAATAAGGCATTAAGAAGACACATTTCGCGAGATGATATCGTTATTTCGTAGTTTCTTTACAACCGCTTTACAACTGACATGGCTAACAATGACAAAATAAAGTTCATGAAAATTACTCAGTTAAATAAAAAAGGTACATATTAATAACTAACCCCGGTTGTAAAGAAACTACGAAATAACGATATCATCTCGCGAAAATTGTCTTCTTAATGCCCCATTCAAATTGTGGAAAACCGATAGATGCAGGTGTCAATCTACTAACTTCGTCCATAGCTAAACATCTAATTGAAATGAACCATAAGATTAATATTTACTCAGCCTTTAAGGTCATCTATAAAAACGGTCAGGGGCACTTCATGAAATACGCTGAGGCTATAGCTATACATAAACCTAAGCCCCCCCTATATAATGAAAAACAATTTGTTATTATTCTTAACCTACCAAGGTAATCTTTATTTGATTTGATTATCAAACATTGTGTTAATTATTCTTAATTCTTTTTTGTCGCTTCTTCATATGTATATCGACTTGACAATTAAATGTGTGAGGGATCAGGTTGTTCGAAATGTATAGCGCAAATAAATCACATTGTTTTTCAGATAATCTTCGTCTTCTAATAACGCCATCGAAATCCTTTTATTAACTCAATTTCAAATTTCTCTTATTTATACAGAAAATATAGAGCCTTAGATGTGCGCAATAATAGTTGTCATAAGGAGAGGCGATATCCGTTAATCAAATAATTAGTACAGTTATACAATTTTTGTCACCCAGCTGAAATTCGATTAGAATGTAGGTTTCATGATTTTCAGCAGTTGGTTTAAAGGCATTTGTTCATTGATTAGTGCCGGTTAGAGATCCAGCGATAATCAGAGTGTAGCGTACAACTGGTTCATCTTAGACTCAAACACACTGGCTTTCGAAAACAAGACTTTCCTGTTAGAAGCTAAATGGTCTACTAGCTAGCCTTGTGACCAGAAGGTCTTGGTTTTGAAACTTTGGGTGAGTGTGTACTTCCAATTAGCCTAAAAACCAAGCCGAACTAGCTATCCAGTACTCTCTGGTAGATATCATGAGTTGGATTAAGGCTATTTACACATAGAGTTCACAAATACACATTCAGATTTTTCAGGATGACCACTGAATTTTTCTCTGATTTGTTTATATATCTACGGAATGAATAGACGCACAGAAAATGGGAAGAAACAAAAATAACAAAAACACAATCATTTACATATTACTGTCAGAAAACATTATAAGTAAGGGTCAGAATACTGTAAGAATAACAGAATGACCAAACATAGAAATGAATGTTTACTAAATTCACTGTAACTGTCTCGTACAGCTTTTGTACATTTAAGCGTACATGTTTCTACGTGCTTAAATTACGTATATCTGTTCATTTCACACAACATATAAACCAATAATGTTTTAATGCACGTCAATAAGCTGATAGATAATTAGTGACATATATATAACGGTTACTTATTTCTACTATGGTAAATTGACACATTTTGTTAACGGAAATGTTTCATAGAATACGATGGACTTTATGGGCAACACTTGTTTTGTGTAAGTGATACCTACATTTTCGTATCGAATGAATTAGTTGGTCTTTTATGAAATTAAAAAAAACTCTATTTTGCGGGAAATTTCAAAGTGGCACATAATTAAGCCATCCATTTTTTTCAGACATCGTGTATCTGCCATCATCGGAATCTGCGCCAATCTTAAAGTTAATATGTAAGTCACCTTGATAATGATTTTAATTGAATGAAATCTCACACTAGGGCATTATTATTTATTGTTATTATATCCTTTAATTCCTAGAGGAACATAGGGCTTCAGCCACGCGTCTCCATTGCCTTCGGTTTTCTGCCAACTTTTTCACTCCGCTCCAAGTCTGTCCACACGCTTTCATCTCCTCCTCACATGACCTCCCCAAGTCACCCTCGCATTGATGACAAACTCGCTGCTTCTCTTCAGTGTTCCACTCGAGCTATGGCTTGTTTAGGGATGTCACTTGATGATTTGTTTCATCAGAGTATGGCCAATGCACCAACTCCATTTCTTCCTGCCTATTTGTTTCACAATCGCTTCCTGGTTGGTTCGCTCATTACCAGAGATCCCTGTTGCTGATCTTTTCTGGCCGGCCATCTGATCCTGAGTATTGAGCGAAGACAACTGTAATGAAGGTCTGTAGTTTGTTTGAGATGCTCTTTGTGACATGGCGCCAAGTCACTGATCCGTATAGTAGCACTGACTTCACATTGGAGATGAAAATCCGGATCTTAAATTCGTTTTCATGCTGAGCGCTGTTGACCTCCACACAGACTTGAGAGTAGTGAAAGATTGTCTTGCTTTCCGATTCTGGCTTTGATGTCCTCGTCAGTTCCACCTGTAGTTAAAACGATGCTTCCCAGTTAGGCAGGTGGAGGAGGTTGTTTTTTCAGGTTCCTCCCACTTATACTGATGGTTGTCTGTTGTTGTTGCTGTTGACCAAGAATCTTCAGCACTTTAGAAGTCTTATCTTTGATGCTTCTTCTGCAGCTTGTTGCATATATATATATATATATATATATATTGGGCATATAGAAAATAAAAACATGTGAAGGATCTCTTCAGATGGAATTTATACTCATGCTGTACAGTCGTACATATATTTATATGACTTTTGTTAAAAAAGACGGTGTGACTTGCTTTAAAATGTAGTTTCGATGTGCCTTGTTAATATCCTCCTTCACAACAATGAAACGATATGAGGTTTATAAGTGGTGTATATGGATGACGTCTTTATCACCACTTATGTGTATACTCACCTAAGCAAAATTCCACAAATCTTCAACAACGCTTATAAATCAGTCGAATTCAAAAGCAAAACGAAAACAGAAAGGAAAGCACACGTCTATATGTCCAGCTCACAAGAAGATCTAATTGAAACCTATAAAGTTCATTATTTCAAAGACTAAGTTGAAATGGGCAGCTGACAAACTATCAGCGTTCCGTCCCAAAGAGCAGGAAAATAAATCTCATCGCCTGTCACACGACAAGAATCCCCTGTATCTGCACTGAGGAGGCATTGAATGGTTATCTAATGTGCTTCATCGATGAACAACTGAAGAGAAAAACTGACCCTCCTTGAATGCTGGATATGCCGAAGAAACAAGTAATTGTTAATCTGAAATTCAAGGAAGGCACACTTAGTCAGGTCCTTCGAAACCGTCTGTTTAAATTAATTCGAAAAATGTCTTTCGCTGCTTCTCTAAAATTCACGTTCTCCAAACACGCTCTTATTCATCAAAACGACAAATACAAGATCCTGCTATTAACACCTTCAGTGTGTTTTCGCCATTTCACATGTTCCCGTGCAGCTACGTATATAAGCTCCACTAGAAGGACATGTCCAGATATGCCTGTGACCACTTTCCAGCAAGGTTTCCAAAAGAGAAGGTATAAAAATCAATACCGCAGTTCTGTAGCATCAGCAGAAGTATTTCCAATTAAAATTGTCATTCAACTCTCGTCTAATTATCCGTTAACAATCTAGGTTACTTAAGAGTAATCCTAATTTCTCAAGGTAGAAAGGTGATCTCTTCTCTGAATCATGTGTTCTCAAGGCACCACTAAGGAAACTATACTGAATTACATAAATAAAATGTGACAAGTGAGGTAATACCGTCATTTGTTAACTTTTCATTAGTGTAATCGTGTAATGTAATGCCTACTAATCTCACTATTCTTATACCTTCCCTTGAGAATTCTGAGAAGGATGTGAAGGTAGTAGTAGGAACAGTGGCGTAAAACTCAGTCAGCTCGTCACTACATTAGTAGATAAGCATCTGAATAAATGCAAAAAATGGTCTGAAACCATTCTGTCCGACCCCCAACACCCCCTCTATTCCCAAGTCTCTCCTTGTATCTCATCAGGTACAACCAGAAATCAGTACAAAATAATATATGCTCGTACAACCAAGTACAGGAACTCAACGATACCACATTTGGCCCGTGTTCTAAGTGACAGAGACAATGTTAAGCGCGAAACCTATGACTTGCTTTGTTGTTAATAATGATAATTTTGGCCGTTCAATTTATCCCTTAAACTCTATTATTTGTACTCTATAATGAACAACCTTCTCAACATACTTAGCTACTTGAAATTATTATCATTGGCTTACTTTTTTATTCTTTATTCTATTCCTTCCTTTGTGTATTTACTGGTCCTGACTACATTATCACTATGAGTATTACAAAGTTGTCCTGTCATTAAGCATCATGTAATATTAGTTTTGTGATTGCTTTTTTTGTTCGGCAATAATAAACTGACAATCTTGTTTGTGAATGCCGTTATCACCATCCTAAAACTTTTGTATTATGCATCATTACTAACACTACCACAACAAAAAGCGCATTAGAGCTGACAATAAAAACTCTGAATGTTTATTTTATGATTGTTTAGTGTTGTTCAATCAAATTAACAGATCATCTTGTCTATAAACATTCTTAAGAACATCTCATACCTCCTTGTATGATTATAGCTGTTACTGTTCACCAGGCATACACATATCATAGCTTCTACTACCAAATACTGAAATATTATTCATTATTGGTGTTTATCTTCCTTTCTACTTGGTATTTTTATTGCATTTTTAAAAATTATTTTTGTGTTTTTTGGTTTTTGGTGTTGTTGTTTTTTCATATACTTTTTTTTGTAATACTCTTTTTAAATGTGGAGTAAAATTAGATGCAATATTGTAGATACATGCTGAAAATTCCACACTGTACCACTAGTACTGTTTCTGGAATAAACGCCAAATTATTATTATTATATATACCATGAAACCTTTTCTTAGGTATAAAATCAGTTATGTTTTGGGGAAAACAACAGATTGAATGAAGAAGTATGCTCCTTTTCAATTAGTCCCTCACCATCGGGTGCCACAACACTAAAATGTTTTTTGTATCAAAATGTTTTTACGAATCAAGTGGTTATTTGAGTTATCAGTTAGTTAATCGTTGAGTCAACCCATCCCTCTTCATCATTATTATTTTACAAATTTCCTACTTTTGTATTAACTTGTGCGTCAATTGCACAGAGGTAGAATGCCAGCCAGTGACGCAGCAAGTGGTTCCGGGTTTGATCATTGATCGATGCACCGCTTTACCTCACTAAGCCAGTTATTCGACTGGTAAAGGGGAAGTTTGGACTTTCGGTTAGCAATTTTATCCCGTAATAATAAACATTACTGCTACCGAAAGGTCAAAGCTCCAGCTTGAAGCCTTATGTTCTACTGGGAGCGTTAAGCAAAAAAATATAATAACTTGTTCCTAACGCTAAATAGGTATATGAAAATTCAGTAATTACTATTTTTCCAATTGAAGTTTAGATTTTCTTCTCGATTGATAGGACCGAAGTGTTGGGTAACAGGTTGACATATCGGCTTTTTGTGCATATGCTTCGATGATGTCTGGCATTTAATTAGAATTTAATCTGTGGATGGTGACTATCGGGGAATTCAGGATGCGCATTTCCTCCTATTAGGACTCGTCAGCTAGTGAGATGTACCTGCATTCCATAGTGAGTGATGATGTTACCACCGATGCTCAAAACCATTGCCCATAGTTTCACTGGACCCACTTGAGCCACAAGAGCCACCGCTCGTGCAACTGGTCATAATAATTTAATTTTAGATGTTCGTACCGATTGATTAGACCCAAGTGCAGGTAATCCAGTGACGACATGCACATCCTGGATTCCACTGCTAGTCACCATTCACCATCATCATCAAAAAATTTTTTTTTCTAACTGAAATGTAGGCTAAACAAATATTACTGCTCTAACGTTGATGTAACAGAAAAGCAGTTTAATATGCAGTTGTATTCTAAGTTACACTTATGAATTAACATAGAGAAATGCTTATCATTAAACGAATATAGGTGCATTATTTATAAATTTTATTCGTTTTATTTTTATTTGTTTTGTATTTCATCTTGAAATTTTACAGGTCAGATATGGCCGAAATCCACATTTTGCAAAAGTAAGCTTCTATATATTCTTCTGTTACAACTTCTAAAATAATTTTGTAAAGTTATGGAGTAATTTAGTAGCAACAGTTGATGGTTTCTGTGTTATTTTAGCAACTAAGCTTGGTGGTTTATTTTGAAAACATCTCAGTGTATTTTAGATGTAACTGTTAGTGTCAATGTTAATACGAAGTCTCTTTAGAAGTAAGTGATAGCACCTGCACTCCAAAAAGTTTGCTTCACTCTTCATTTGAAAGTGTTTTATGAATTACTGAGAAATTGAAAGACTTTTCATCATGTCACAGACATGCATTGATCCAATTTGTTCTCATTAAAACCTTATGTGTAAACCAGTAGTATCAAAACGTATGAGGGACGTTTTTATAACATGCATTCTTTTATAGAGCGTCAGTAACGCTTTTAAACCACTTCAGTTTGTTAAATGACTGTTGCAAAGACAGCTAGAAATAGTGAGAATATGAGTCTTGAAGTTGATACATTTGGTAAATCTCAAGATGAGTAACTCGTATGTCCACTTGTTTAAACCGTTCCGTGACTCAACTTTTCATTAATTACGAGGCATTCAATTAAGAGTCATTTTTCTTCAGATAACGTCAAATATCATATCACCTAATACAAGAATTAAGCCAAATGGTTGGAGGCGATGGCAAGAGGCCTTGTCTGACGTAGGTTTCGTGCCAGTTAGCACTCGCCAGAAAGGCGTATATGCAAGCCGAGAGGAACTGATGTCCCTTCTGAGTTTCGAAATCGCGTCGTCCATTGCTGCGGTCAGAGACGTTATTACTGAGCTATTCAGCGTCACGATCGATCTCCTGTAGGACTGTGGTGGATACTTTATCTGGACGCTAGTAACTAGTGTGATTGTATCTAGTCTTTTGCCTTCAGCCATCTAATATGAACAATTAAAAGTGCACTATGATGTTAAGCTACCTAGAAGGGTAGCCACATTACAAACCTGACTGAGAGAATTCAGTCTGCATTAAGCAAAAGACTCGACACGTCATACTAGTTACTAGTATCCAATAGAGGTATTAGATTTTCCCCATTCACTCGATCATCAACTCCTAGCTTAGTGATAGGGAGTGAACTGATAGAACATGTTGGCCACTTCACCTATTTCGGAAGTTGTGTCAGCACCAACGGACTGATTGGCGACGAAATCTCAGCACGGATCCAAAAAGCTCGAGCTGCTTTCGCTGACTTACACCATCTCTGGTGTAGGCGTGACATCCGGCTGTCAACTAAGGGATGTGTGTACTGCTCAGCAGTTCGCTCCGTCTTTCTTTATGGATCTGAAACATGGCCAATACGAGTTGAAGATATGAAAAGGTTGACTGCTTTCGATCATAGATGTCTGAGATCTCTGTCTCACGTTAGGTGGTGTAATAAGGTAAGTAATGTTGACGTTAGGCGTAGAGTGTTGGGCAAAGAGGGAAAATCAATCGACGAGGCTATAAAGTTACATAGAATGAGATGGCTAGGTCATGTGCTGCGCATGCCTAACCATCGCCTCCCCTGACGGGCATTACTAGCTGATATAGGTGCAGGTTGGAAAAGAGCCAGTGGTGGCCAAACAAAAACATGGCCTCATCAATCCATGAAATCCTTGACAGTTAAACTGAGTCAGTCAGGTAGGGAGATGCAGACTTCGGGGTTGGGGCCCTCGGGACTCTAAGAATCAATGGCTGGAGACAATAGGTGACATGGCTCAAAATCGTTGTCAGTGGCGCAGATGTATTCAGTCTCTGTAATCTTTCATATACCTTTCTACCATTACCCATTCTATTTTGCTCTTATACTTGTCAAACTCTATTGATTCTCTTCACTCATCTTCTTATCTACTTTTGTGTGCTAATTGGAACGTGGCAACTGGAACTGCTGCACTTCACCGCCAAATTATATGTTGAATCCAGACAGACAGACATTCAGCCGATTCCCTTTACAAGTCCAAAGAACGAAATACTGAACATAATTGCAGGATTGTATGGGCTACTTTTATTTCGTGGATTTTTTTCAGCGCCATAAATCCTAGACGATATGAAAATAGAAGTTGAAAAATCAACCTTCTTTGCTATCAAATGACTTCAATTAAATGTCTGTGCACAAGTGGATAGTATGATTGATCTATCACTACTCACCGAGTTCAGTTCATCTATTTAATATTTTTATCTACATTACAACCCCACTTTACTAAACATCCTCTAAAGTCACAATCAGACTATGTAAAATGTACGCGACTGTTTCATCTTTATGTTTTTTCTCTGGTCAATACTTATTTATGAGTAAACACGGAGTAATTTGTCTAATTAAATGATTTTTTTAATTATGTTGCCTACACTTTGTATTTATCACTGGATGTCACTGGGAAAAATTTTTGATCGTAAATTTTGTAGCTTAGATTTTAAAATTGTTAAGAATGTACGCAGGTGAAAAGAATCTACAAAGTTAAAAGGGGGCCTGTTTTACTGGTGCAAGTTGTCTAAATGAAATTGAGACGTAGTATACTGTACACAAAGGTAAGAAGAGCAGCAGACATTGCCTCAGACCATTATCTTGTCCAAGAAGCACTCCAAACCAAATGATACATTTTGAAAGAAAATCGAGCTGCAGATAGACCACAAGTTGGGTTTAATACTCAAGGATCAGGCTACAAAAGACATCTTCACTGCAATCAGAAGGAAAAAGTTGGGGACGCAAATCAAATCTAGCGAAGTGACCAGCGCTGAAAAACACTGGAACAGACTGAAAGTAGTGTGAAGTCAAACCCTCATGAAAGCTGTAAGGAGAAAGAAGAGATCAGACAAACTCTGGCTCACTACGGACACATGGAGACTAATAAAAGAGAGAAGGATGATGAAACAAAAAAAATTATCCATTGCATCGACAAGCAATAAAAACAGGAGTTGAATGCAGAAGAAGAGTGCCAGGGAAGAAAAAAGACGATATTATGAAACCATAGAAAGACAGACAGAACAAGCTGCAGCCAAAGGAGACCTCGCAATACGCTACTAAACAACTGGTTCCTATCCAGGAAAAGTTCGACAGAAATTAGCTGGTAAAGAATGACAGTGAGAATTCAATCACCAATGAGGTAGAGAAAGAAAACACTAAGCTGAACACTTCAAAAGACTTCTGAATCGATCGCCGCCTACAACGCGCTGAATAACAGCTTTCTTCGCTCAATAGTCAAGATCAGATGGGCAGAAAATGTCAGAAATAGGAGTCTCTGTGAGCAACCAAATCAGGAACTTATTGTTCAGCAGGTATGCAGGAAGAAATGGAGGTGGATTGGCTACACTCAAAGAAAACCATCAAGAGACATCACACGCCAGGACCTTGCTCGATTGGAACCTGAATAGGAAGTGACGATTTGGTCGTCATTGTAAGGGTGACCTGGAGAAGGTCATGTGAAGAAAAGATGTAATTATGTCGGCAGACATGGAGTCAGGTGAAAATGTCAGAGAAGCGAACGCGATGGAGACGTGAATCTGAGGCCGTATGTTTCCCTAGGAATTAAAGGAAACAACAATATAATAAATATAGTTATATATAATAATAAAACGGGTCCCCATTATCCTGTTCTCCCTCTTATTTATTCAATATTCTCTCACTGTGTACATATTATTATGTTGAAAATTTATATGATGAAGATGAGTGAAGTAACACAATATTGTTTTTCAGTCTACGATATGACAAAGAAAATTTTGGTAAGAATCGTTATATTTTCTGTGAATATATATACGAATACATTACAACACGGTGAATCACACTAAGATAAATGTGGCTCGGTAGTATTTCATTATTATAATTGTTGAGAATGACCAGTCTCTGTACTTTCGTCAATCGCAGAGATTATTTATATTTAACTCTGCAAACAGTGAAATGTATACAGTCAAAAATTCACTGAGAGTTATGTACTTGATAAGTTAATGAAGTACACTGAATCAACCATGCGAAATGACAAGGCTGAATTTTTTTAACATCATGTTTGGATTGATGAGGGGAAAGGCGTTGAAGAGATGATAATCAATTAAATAAACAATAAGTTCCACACAGTGAAACGCATTGTGAACTGGATGATGTTTCGAATAAACTTTATTGTTCATAATAATATCACTTATGACCACAAGCTTTCTGAACTTAAGTTTTTCTTTTATCCCCTATTTGTCGTCGTTGAGTTAGTAGAATTTTCCAGATAACTTGTTCAGGTGCTGAATCATCCCTATTACAAGTGTTTGCAATTGGTTCGACATACAAAGCTTCTGTTGTCTCTCTCTCTCTCTCCACATTGCTGTCACTTTAGATTTGAAAACTGCCATCTTTTCTAATCCTGTTGTGTGGTTGTGTGTAACTACATGTGGTGAAGTACTATGGCTGAACTTTGATCCAGATTTCTTATCTTATTTGGGTCAACCAATCCAGATTTTGCTAGGTTCTTCTGCTCTACTAGTGTGAGTGACTGAGTGACTCCGTTCTACTACTTTCACCTATGTATTTCACCTGACAATCACTGCAGACTGTTAGATAAAGAAAACTGTTTGACGATATAAGATAGTTGGAGGCAATCGATGGGAAGCCTTGGACCCAGGTTACGTGCTACTTGCCAAACCTAACTGATAGAATTAAATTGGCATGGAAATAAAGGACTAGACACATCGCACTAGTTACTGATGTCCAATCAAACAAGATTGTTTTGTTCAATTGGCTCCACAGGATTCTATAGCCGACAATGCTTGTGTCTAATTGAGTTTGTGTGGCGGTTTGAATGCCAGCCACTTTTATTCATGCCTTGTTAAGAATTCTGCTTAAGGTTTCTGCAGTTCCCTCCTTGTATGGAATTACTATTGATGATTTAGATTCCTTATTGTTGGTGTTGTTTTGCGTATGTTTGACATGCATGTAATAGTTAATATTACCAATATTATTATTAGTAGTATTGGTACTATTATTATTACCAGTATCACTACTATCATTATTTATTTTGTTTTTACATTTCTTTACATATTTCCTGACTAATTTATCCAGTTAATTATTAGGTTTCAAGGCATCTCTTTTGTGCTTCACTTTCTGTTTTAGATTTTCCTTGGTACTACTTAGTTTTTATGCACTGTTACTTAAACATTACACCAATCCTATTATCACTGACATAGGATGGGATGATTGGAAGTCCAAATATCTGTTTGAATGTGTGGGTTTCCTTTAAAAACTAGTGTGTTTAACTCCCATCTTCTTTCCTTTTTACGCTACAGTCTAACATTGGAAGATCCCTTTCCTGACTTTCCGATTCCTAAGTGAATTGAACTGCCTCCATCTTTGAGTTAATGTGTTCGAAAAATCTATCAGTATCTTGTGTTCTAGGTACCGTGAATGTAGCATCCACATACCTCCACCATACTTAAAAATTGTGGCTGATCGTTTTTAAACGCTATGTTTCCCACTTATCCATGAATATATCTGTCACAACCGGAGATATTGATGATCCCATGACAACTACCTCAGTTAGCTTGTAAATTTTCCGCTGGAATTTGAATACTGTGGAAGTCATGGAATTACTTACTACCACAGTGCCGAAGTCTTACACATATATTAATAAGTTGCAGGTTTGATCATATAACCGTATCATTTAGAAAACGTCTGGAAACCTGAGAGTTCCGGATGGCTGTTTTGCTTCAGTTTTGGACTCATCAACAATATGTGGCCACCGGGTTTTGAATTTATGGCCTTGCGGTGACAAGGAAAGCTCTGAAACTATTGAGTCAGTGGTATACCATTCAATGGCCCATGAATTCTAAATTCTACTATTTCGTGATATCAGTGTGTGACTGATGGCCAATGTCATCAGCGAGTATTTTCCCTAATTCCCAGTCGGGCGGACCCCACCTGGTTATGACTTCCCATCAGAACTCAAGGAAACCTCTTACAGCAAGCAGTCAATCACATGTATCAAATTCATTCAAACAGCTCATGAAAAGAATCAGTTATCAGAGAAAGAACTTGAATATATCAAGAAGTACTAACTGAATAATGGTGATGATAATAATAATGATAACAGTAGTAACAACAATAAAGTGTCGAGGTTATGATGCTGGCCAAGGATAATTTTAATGAATCAGGCATAATAATAATAAAAGTTAATATGTAAGATTTAGAGTGACCGCTTATTCCTTCCATACACAGACGGTACTTGTAAACTATAATTGCACAAATCCCGCAATTACAAGTATCTTTTAGTTTGTTTCTCTGCAAAGAACAGTGAATGACTTGACAGCGTTAATATGATGTCCGTAATCTCGACATAATTTGTTATTGAATGTCCTGGCACTTTGACTTCAGGTGTTTTCAACCACTTAATAAAATGCTCCATCATTAGAGCCTTTTCGTATGACCTATATATTCGCTTAGACAAATAAATTCAAACTGATATTCTCAGTTTCAAGTGTCGATGATTCGTAAACAGTCATTCCGACACTGTTATGTTGTTTAATAAGAGTTTTGTAGCTTAATAAGTCCTCTTGATATCTTTATCACGTCATCATTTCACCATTTCATGTACGTCTTCTCTTTTAAATTGTAAACTGATATTCACAGCTTTCTATGAAACCATTTCCGATGATTTTACTGAGGCTTTTTTTGTCGCATTTAAAAGTGGAACATTCAGAGAGTCCACTGATATTTGAAATATCCTTCAGGGTCTTTATTTCGCATTCACTTGTACTGTCAGAATAAGTTAACATGCAGTATTAAACAATTTTCTTTAGGTGATCTAGAGCTGAAAAACTTCACGCAGGTGAACCTAAATAAATTTTACAATCGATGAAAGCGAAGGAATTGATGACTTTTAACAATAGTGATGGTAAAATAATCCTGACTGAAGTCTTATCTGTGTATGGATAAGACCAAGTTGATTCGGGTGTCTTAAAACAATTTTCTAATATTTTGGTGCATTTCTTGTACCATTGTAAGTTATGTAGATTTACGTTTTCGTTAATAACTGAGGTGAATTCCAGCTCTTCCAATCGTTGAATATTACCTTCACTGGAACTCGAATTATTATCATCCTCATATTGTAAACTAATGCGCTGAAAAGTTTCTAGACTCCTCAATTTCTTAAATTTGAATAGGTTCAAGAATTTAGCTACTACATTGTTTTTTTCATGACAACAGGATGAGACGGTGAAAAACGTGAGTAATTATTACTGATGATTAAAATGTCAATTAAAATTTTCAAAAGAATGGATACTAAATAAGGAATACTCTTTTCGATAACCTCTTCATCGTCAAGCTCTACAGTTATATATACACATTATAGTGAATGAATGAATTAGTGTTATAAACAACATATACGCTGTTTGATTAACATCGAATCAATAATATCGACAGATTCGTGAATTTATAGTCGTCACTGAAGGCCAGGAGTTGTTTCTTTTGAACACAGAGCACTAGTTGTTTGAGGCGAATTTAAATAGCCTTCGCTGTTTTAAGCATGCCTAATAAATTGCTAAAAAACAATGAAGTACCACATGCTCCAAAACAGCAGAGTCCATTGCAATTCACCTCAAACAACCAGTGCTTTGTGTTCAATAGAAGCAAGTTCAGCCAGCCACTACTACAGCCCTGGCCGGCCTTCAGTAGAGACTATCAATTCATGAATTTATAATATTATCTTTTCTAATATTTCTGACATTCAGTTTATAGTTATGTTGATGCTGTTGAGCTGTATTCTATCAGTGTTGTTGATTCTATGTTATTTAAACAGCAATAATGATGTTCATCATAACACTAATTCATTCATTCACTATGATGTATATATATAACTGTAAAGCCTGATGATGAATAGGTTATCGAAAAGAGTATTCCTTTGTTCAGTATCCATTCTTCCGTAAGTTGTTATCAACTGAATAATTGATATTCGACTAATTCTACGGATAACTGATGATAATTTTGATCTATACTCTTAATTTGTTACAGGGAAAAACTTCGGATAGTGATTCAGTAAGAGAGTTCAGTATTACATGCGTATTAGTGTATTAATTAAGCAATTTGACTAGACGATGGTCAGGTTATTAAACCTTAGCTACCAGAATACTCTGTTACCGTATTCTATCTGAAATCTCTTATTCCATTTTCTAAATCTATCAAAATATGATCATTTATGATGTTTGTTTTTCTCTTGCGAATGTTTAAAATGCCTACGATTAGCGGATTTACTGATTTTGAAAAAGAGCGCTCTCGTATCTGATCACGTATCTTAATACATGAGATCGCTGTTCCTAACATTTTGAATACAATCTACCACTATTTGAAAAATCAAACTTATTGCGTACAGTCTTCAGTTTTTCGGCTGTCATTACTTCTCAGTGGCGAATAATGTACTCCTACACCTTTCATAACCGGTTTAACAACTAAGCGTTGTATATTTAGTTACACGATTTCATTATGAGCTGAGATCGGTTAGAAAGCCATTGAAAAACCATCTGGGAATACCGAATAGCCGTTTTGTTCCAGTTTGGGACTCTTCGTCAGTAAGTACCAATCGTGACCTTCTGTTTACAAGGCGAGACCATTAGGCTCCTGGGACCAGATTCAATGGACAGTCCATCAATTCTAACTTCTGCTAATTCACGAAATAGTGCGACGAGTATTTGTTCTCATATCAGACCTGCTGCTCCCTGTATATTTCTCTTAGCAGTTAAGCAAAGAAATATCGCAAGGTAATGGTTTGCGCTTTCAGTTCAGACAGCATTATGTCACAGGATCTACTGTAATTCCTTTCTATATCTGAAGGTATAGTGTGAAGCTAAAAATATCATGCAATAAATTCCGCTGAAAATTTCGTATTTTATATAAACATTGTCTAGAATAGAGCTATTATTACCATTTATATTTCCATAGAGTTTGAAGCATTGAGTTGCATTGATCTTTTTCATGATAACAGGATGGAATGTTCCCAGTCGTAAGTCGTGAAGACTACCTAACTAAATGATATCACTATTAAGTTTATGTCTAAGTGGTAATATATCTATATGCAGATGTCTTTATATTTGCTTATTCATTTTAATGGTCCTCCTCTAATTTGTTCACTAAAACGAACGAGATCACATTCATTTACGAATTAGTTTGCGATTTGTACTGAATTCAATTCTAGATTTTCCCATCGATTGATTGGACCGAAGTCCTCCGTATCAGGGTTACATGTCGGCTTCTTACGCGAATCCCTCCACGATGTCTGGGCATTAATTATAATTTAATTGGTGGATAGTGACTATCATTAGTATCCAGAATGCCCATTTCGTCTATCTGAGACTCGTCAGCAAGTGGGATGTACCTGCATTCCGTAGTGAGTGATGATGTTTCCATCGAGGGTCGAACTTAGTGCCCATAGTTTCAAACAGCACGGCGTTATACACTACACCACTTAGGCCACGAGAGCCACCTCCTGTTCAACGGGTCATATTAATTATTTGATTGAATTTAAGATTTTCCTGTCGATTGATTGAACCAAAGTGCTCGGTCTCAGGTTCATGTAGGATGAAATGCACACCCTGGATTCCACTGCCGGTCATGTCCACCAATTAGTTTGCACTTTGGCTTGAGGTGGTGAAATCTAACTACATTGTGCATTGGGAGCCAAATTTTTCTGATCTCACAATGTTATTTGCTTGGTATTATAAATGGAGTGCGTTGGTCGCATAGCGCAGTTTGAACACTCGCTGACCATCCTCATGGTCCGGGGTTCGATCCCCGGCCGACGCACTCCTTTACCTCGTTAAGCCAGAAATAATGCTGGTAAAGAGGAAAGGTTGGGCATGAGGCTAGCAACCCCATCCTGTAAAATAAACACTGCTACAGAAGCTTCAAGCCACAAGCTTGAAGGCCTATGTTCCTCTGGGGAACGTGAAGGAAAAATGGTTATAAATGGAACTCAAGAGACCAAGCTTATTTGAATAACACTATACACTAGTGATGGTTAATATGAGTATTTTGTCAATTCTATGAGTTGAGCCGAATTAAACACTCTGCTGATGAGTTCAACCCTAGGTGAGTGAAGTGGCTGTTCCGTTCTACTGGTGGATGTTATCAGTATACAGTCAACCAATTGGCACTATTTGACTTTAGGAAAATCGGAGTCATTTTCCGATTCATGTTATAACCAATCTAAGAGAATAATTAATTAAAAGATTTTGCAAAGGGTGAGTGGAAGTCTTCTACAATGATTTATGCAGGTCTAAAGTTGACGGCTGGGAAGTCAGTTGTCTCTATTTGTTATCTTATAAGTGTGTTCAAATGAAATAGCTGGTTGAATAAGACAAACATTTAGCGGGGAAAAACATCTGAGATTTAAATAAAACCTGATCACTTTACCAATGAGATATATGTAGTTGATTATTGCTTTGTGGAATACATTATCGGTGAAGTCCGCTACACTGTCTCTTTTTTAACAGCGAAGTGGTCAACACTCGTCGGTAAGTCTTTATGATTTCCTATTCAAATGAAACCTCACCTGAGAATATGATCAACCAATATAATGTGTGTGTTTATTGCACTGTTGTCACTTTTTGAACTGCGGTCTATTTCAGACTACTCATGTAAACAGAATAAAGACAGTAATGTCTCATTAAAATGTTTATTTAGCTTTTGAAAGAACTGTTTTCTAAATTATATACCACGCAGATCACAAGTTAAGTAGAGTTCAAGTGTTTGCGATTATTACTGGACTGATACATTCAACAGAAACTGCTAATTGTCTGTTGATGACTGCAGAACTGGAAACAAGCAGTTTAATTTTTTAGCTAAGTTTAATTTTTCTATGTATTACTTTCTGATTTGGTTGGTCTAACTGAAAATAGCACTCATGGGTTTTTCTTCAACATATTCAGAGCGAACAGCGAAGTGGGGTGAGTATTTTGAATACTCATTCTGAGTTTTAGTTTCATAGCTTATCAAAATTTCACTAAAGCAGATATATTTAATCGTAAACATTCAATTTAACCTTGTTGTTTCCGTAGAATTAACGGCACTCATTTTAATTTAGATTTAATGAATTGATTTTATGATTCAACTTATTTCTCATATAGATGATGAAGTAAGATTACGAAGTCCATTCTTTAAAATTGATCCTCTTAATGTTTATTTAGTGAAGAACATATTGAGTCTTAAGTAAAATAATTCATTCTGGACCTGATATAACAAACTATCAACGTTACATTGCAATGAACGAAATATTCTCATTTTGAGTCGAAAGAAAAAGATGTAAACAGCGAAGATAGTTTTTCTTTTCGACGATTAAATTTCATTAGCTGTTCGATAGTAAATATATCCAATAAAGAATTCATAAGACCAATCAGATACCGGTAATATTTGTCCTCGGAAACGTATTACGTAATGCAAGGTGTAGTCTAGAAGGAGTGAATAATAAAAGGAGTTAAAATTATGGGAAAACGTTATTCTGACCATGGTATGGTGAGGTAATGCATTTACGATATTGAGGAACTCCACGTATCCTTGTGAAGTATTCATGATGGGGTTGCTTGATATCCCTGAAAGTGGAATTCATAGGCGACATTTAAACAGAAATTCTTGGAAACTGCCTTTCCAAATGTTTGAAGAAGACATTTCCATCAGCCATCTTACGTATCACACTGTACAGCAGACAATTTATCCAATCTAACGTCAAGGATAAAGTACTGCTTTTGGCCACCTTAGTGTGTCGATATCAGTTTATCCATGTGGTGCAAAGCGTATTGGCTGTATGCAATATCAAGTTTACAAACATATTTTGGAACATTGTTGAGCTTGGTCAATCAGCCAGAGGAGAAAAGAAGAACAACGGCAGCTCCATCCTCGAACACGTTGTCATCTTTGGACATCGAGCACCCCCGCGTAAGTGCTCCACATTCCCACACAGAGTCCATCAATATCGTCTAAATTGAATTCGCATACGCCATCTGTACATAGCTGGAGCACTGGCTATTCGTAAACTGAAACCATACCTATGCATTCAAAAACAATACGTACATTGCATCACCCTACCGTGGGCATAGTAACGTTTGCAAAATAATTTTGTCTCCCTTTATTGTTCAGCCCTTCAAGACTACTCCTTGCATCATGTAATACGTCTCCTAGGACAAACTTTATCAGTATCTAATTGAATTACTTTGTAATCTACGACATCTAACTATGTACAGACTCGTATTTGTACTCATTGCAGTCATATAAGTAAATACTAGTGGATGAACCTATGAAAAAGAAGTATAATATCTTTTTTAATAACTGCACAATGTAGTATTGAGATGCCTTAAAAAAACAGTTCACTGGCAGTTTTTGTGTGACTGACGAAATCCACTGGTTTTGGCAATGTCCATTCAAGCGTCAGATATATATCTGAATTCACATATAAAAAGTTGAAATAAATGCGTTGTGGAGGCACCGAGAGATCATACGGCGTATTTCTATGGTCATATTGTTACTTCTTCGGATACAGGTCTTAATGTAAACTAAAGTGTATAGGTTACGTTCTAGCTAAATTTCGAAGTATTTTGGCTTCACCCATGACACCACATATTAAAGATGGATTAAGATGAGTATCTGTATACTAGTCACAGCGATCAGAAATGTTTCCAGTCATGGTTGAAGAGATTTAATAGCTGCATTGCAGTTTCGCACGTTCCAAGCCGAGCTCGTTATCTGCTTGTTAAGTTTAACTAAACACAGACAGATAAATCACTTAAAAACACGTAATTTTTGCCTAGTTACTTGGTGTAAACAGGTAGATACATAAATGCTTCATAATTCGCAATTAAGCCCACAATTGCATCAGTTCAGTGATAGATCGTGGTGATTATTTCAACATAGTCGGCTGAAGATTCGAGATTGCATAGAAAACGAAATGTTTATCTGCTTGATTTCATGAATGATAACAAAGAATGTAAGCATAAATGCACCGCGTTATTTACAACTGGTTTTCTGAGATTAGAAAGCATATACCACTCACGTGAAACAGTAATGCGATCTGAGAAGTCACACTTTCCATGAAAAACTACACTGAAATAATCCCCACTATTAGTGAAAGCCGAGAAGGACTTCGCAAAATTGAGAAAAAACATGCAAACTGACCAGTCTGTGAAAATCAAACACTTGTCAGATTGAAAAATACAATTTCAGCATACTTCGTGTAGTTATTAGTCACTAGTAAGCCACTGAATAAATTTCGTGAGTTGATTTTGTGGGGGTTAAGCTGGTTGCATTTTTCTGATGATCAAATTCTCCGCATTAGACAAGCGTCATTTTGAGTAAATCAAGTTGAGGCTCGGTTAGCAAATATCAAACACTGTAAAAGGCTAGTTGATTATACAAGCATATTTCGCAAGATATTAACGTCAATGTAGGTAATTGTGGATCTGGCTTTTGTGAGTTTTTACGAGTTAATCACCGATTCATATCAGTTACAGGACCATTGAAAACCAGAAAGCACTGGACAGCTGTTTCATCCTAATTTAAGAATCATCGGCAGTATGCACCCAACGCCATGGTTGGAAACCATGACCTTCGGTTACAAGGCAAGATGTCCCGTAAACCATTCAGCCACTGGGATCCGATTCAATGGCCAATGAATTCTAACACCTGCCAATTCATGATTTGGCGCCGATGATTCCCAAACTAGGATGAAACAGCAGTTGTTCAGTACTCCCTGGTTTTCAATGATTCTTTAACTGATATCAATCCGTGATCAACTCGTAAAAATAAATCTAGTCCTTACAAACCAAACTATAGAAAAAATTAATCTGATGCTCGCTAGTGACGTGCTACAGGTTGGAGTTTCCTGAGTTCTAGTGAGAAGTCGTGACCAGTGAGGTCCAATTAGATGTCACGTGTGTGGATGGATGTCCCACCAACGACAATGGTTGGGGTCGCGCCAAATCACGAATTGATAGAAGTTAGAATTCATGGGCCATTGAATTGAGTCCCAGTTGCTGAATGATGTACGAACTTGTCTTCTAACCAGAACGTCCTTGGATCGAACCTCAGTGGGTGCGTATTGCTGATGATTCCCAAATTATAACGAAACAGCTATTTATTACTTCAGTGCTGTTTTTCAATGGTTCTCTAACTGATTAACTCGTAAAAGCATATTTAAACCTTACAAACCAAACTATAGAAAATTTTATGAATTTTGTTGGTAACACCATTAGGAGTGAGGCGTGATATTTAACTTCTAACCAAAAAAGCTGTACATACTGGTTTTAACTAGACATCGTCTCATACCCTGGTGACATAAAGGTGATTATTAGACTTTGCTTACGAAATTCAAGTAATCTAAAGCTTTACAGTCAGACGTATCTCATTTAAGACAGAAGTGAGTTGTTTATTTGAAGATGTCAGATTACACCCTAAAATGAACATGTCAAAGACTCTTTGAAAATATAAACATCTCTCAAAGTAAACCGTCCCTGTAATGAGTTTAATCAATATTTTTTGTCTCTCGTTTTCGTATGTTGGAATTATGTAATCATTAGTGATTTCATGTATAAATTTCACATTTCACTGATTGTTCAGTGTCATTTGAGAAAGCTTAATCTCCGGCACTGTCATTGTTCTCTTTGTTGTTCTATATTACAGCAAGGCTGTTCAAAAGTGACTTATTCATCAACATTCAAAGCGTCACTTTGATATATATTGGTTCATTTATGATAAAATTTCTATGTATGTAAAACTAACCATTGTTCTAACTTTGCAGATTTGTGTATCACAAATAAATAAGTGACTCTGGTTTTTTCAAACATAAATTTCTTCAAACAGTGTCCCTGTTCTCATTGTTGCAATACTGTTGCTCAGAAATGACTTATTCACCACTTTTCAAAGTGTTAATTATGATATTTATTGCTTCATGTATTCACTGTGAAATGATAAAGTTTCATATGCATTAATGGCAAACATTTCTTTTAACTGTGCAGATTTTTGTACGACAAATAAATGTGTGAATTTGATTTCATCAAATATGACTTTACTCAATCGTTCATTTGATCTACTAGTAGAGTCAGGATAATCTCAACTAATAAAAAATGTTTTTCTATTTCTCAATGAATGAATGAAAAACAAAACGATATTGTTTTTACTGACGTTTCGCTATTTAATGCTAACAGCTTTATCAAAGTAGCAATATTAAACCAGATTTTACAAAATTTCAGCGTATCTATAAAACAAAGAGTTAAGAGGTGAGAAAATAGACCTAAGTGAAGTTAAAAAGGACATATTGAAAGATAAAATAACAATGGAGATCACCAAACCAAATAACAAAGGTAATAGGACATCTGTTATGATATCAAAACAAAGTTTACTAACTTGATAATCGTTCGTCAATCTTGGGTCATTTTTCGTTGTCAAGTTGGTGAATTGGTGAAGATAACAAAATCAAGTGTAGACTGTTGGATTTCATTAGTGTGTAAAATTATAAAAGTAGTGTGTGTTTACATAGTGAACTTGCTTATCACATTTGTGTTGATTTTGCCATTTCATGAGGGAGAGGGGTGTTGCAGCCAGGTCAGATGCTGTTTTAGTCCATCGCTCCTATTCAGGCAATTTGGATTCCACTTGATATGAAGTGCTTCTGATGACGTGAGACTGTCTTTGCGATTTCTGAATTTTTTCTGTATTATTTCAATATTGTCAGAATCAATTTTTTGGCCTGATTCTATAGCATGTAGACCTCTGGCTGATGATTTTGCAAGCTTCTCTAGTTCAACTGGATTTCTCGGTGGTCGAAGAGATGCTCTGTGGTGTTCATTTCCTCTGATTTTGATTTCTCGAGATGTTTGTCCAGTGTGGATCACATCACATTCCAAGCATTTTATTTTATAGACACAAATAGATAGAGAATCTTTCGGGATTATGTCTTTTATATGGACAAGATTGCTTTGAAGTGTGTCTGATGTTTTGAAGGAAACTGTAATTTCGAGCTGATTGAGTACTCTTCTGATATCATCTGACATCTCTGCTCTGTATGGAATGACGACTGTTGATGTCCATGTTTTCGGCCATACTTAATGTCCGTATTGATTTTGTTGATGAAGTTCCTTGGGTAGTTGTTTTGCTTGATAGTTTCAGTAATGTTTGCTATTTCTTCTTCTTTTTCTTGCTCATCCGTTATCAGAGAGTGTGCTCGTCTGACAAGACTTGAAACAACTGAAATCTTTGCGCTGATGGGGTGGGATGATTTGAAGTCTAAATATTTATTGGAGTGGGTTTTCTTCCTGAATATGGATATACTAAAATTTCTGTTATATATATGCTGAGATTTTGTAAATTCCGGTTTAATAATACTTTGATAAAGCTGTTAGCATTAAATAGCGAAACGTCAGTTGAAACAACAATATCGTTTTGTTTTTCATTCATTTGGAAATACAAGGAAACCTTTACTATAATGAATATCATATACCCAATGCCCAAATCTTTTCAAACCGTTGAAAGTGAACTTGGTTTGGACATATATAACAGACTATTTGGTGAATTTCAGACATGTCTAACAATAGTCCTTAATATCATAAAAAGTTGGTTCTTCCAATAATGATCATCCTTTTACCCACCTTATCCAATTTTCAGCCCACTTGCTGAAAATCAAATCTGTAATGAATAATTCCAGAAAAAGGCCTGTTTTTTCACTACTTATGGTGTCTCCCCATGCATTCTATTCGATCTTTCTACTTATTACGCTTTGTAATTTCATTCATTTTCCTCATGGTGGGAAACAGTTGTGAAACTTTCTCACTCATTCAGTATAAATACACGAATCCGCTGACTGGGTGATGACTTTGTTGGAAAGAGCATTTTCCAAGCTGCGACCGTCGTTTTAAAAGGAAATTCATAGACGCTAGCATTACGACTTTATCGAAAAGCCCACAGAATAGTGTCTAGGCCTTTTACTATATGGGAAACACTGGTGCCAGATAATGTAGCACGTTAGACCATCGCGATACGCGAAGCCGACGACTTAAGTAAGTGATAGTCATTGATTGGAATTCTAGCAGAAAAATGCATGATGATGATGAAGAAGCGTTTAATTTCGGATATTATGATTAGTAATGCAAGGGTATAGTGAATGTATAAAGCGGCGTAGTAGAGGTTATGCTAAGAATGAAAACAAGTCAAATATTTAGTCAGGAAGGTTAACACCCTCAGTGAATGGAGAGTCCTGAAGAATTGACAACCCTGTGATAAGTTTCTCGTGTAAATTCTGAATGACATAACACAGACATGATCATTTTATGTCATTACAAATTTCACTTTCTTCAAACTCGATTTTGCAGTTATTTCTATATATATATATATATATATATATATATAAATGAGCTTACATTGCTTAATGTCCTTCGCGATGTTTGAATGTATACGTGTTAGTTAGGCTCCGGTGACATTCTCAGGTGACCAGTACTCAGCAATTTACA